GAAAAAAAAACAACAACAACAACAACAACAACAGCAGCAAAATCCATTTCCACGATAAAAAATGGAAACCCCATTATATTAACACAACAGTAGCTGTTATCCAAACCCCGTTTTTCTAAGATTCCCTTAATTACTCTTTATTTTAAGTTTAAGTTGAATAAGTTATGTAATCCTTGCAGTGTAGTGCAGTGTAGTTCTTTTTTCTTTGTAGTTTGTAATTAAGGTAATTGTTGTAAATTTTGTAATGTTTATAGGTATCGATCTGTACGTTCTTCTACTACACCTGAATTTTATTGTCGTCAAATCGCTAGAAAATTCTCTCTAAAATTCCCGCTATGTATTATTAATAATTCTGAGAGTGAAATTTAGATTAACGCAAATTCCGAGAAGGAAATGTGAATCGCGTGTCCTGATAGCAAGACGAATTTGATGAAGTTACCCAATAAATTACAGATGCTTCAAATACTACAGAAAGAAGACTTAATTCTCCCTCAGCTGTGTCAACATGGCGGCCATTTAGTTTTAGTACCTCATCTACTTCGCTGTATGTTAGACAACTAGAAATTAATACAAGTTCTCGTGAGCTAGCCCAGATGTTGTGAAAGTGGCTTGTTACCTGTTTTATCGTTTGTTTTTAGTTACTGAGAACTCTCGAAAAGTTATCATTGCTCTTAGCATATCAAAAAGTGCTCATTCCCATTGCATTGCTTAAACTCATTACATCGGTAACTTCCCCTTGTCTCAGATCTTTTCATCATTATATACATCACTGGAGAAGATGAAAACTTACAGAGCATGTAAAGAACATTGAATGCAGTGTATTCATAAAATAGATTAATTCGCATGCACGAATGCTATGCAGTAACTTTTCCCAAGTGCGAATAAGTTTAGTCAAAGTCATGTTAGAGCTAAGGATAGTAATTGTAAAGGAACATTGAACATGAACATGACTTATGCCACATAAATTTATGGTATGATCAAGCAAACAATAAATCGTCCCACCCAAAAAATAAACAACAAACAATTAAATAGCAAAAGCCGGTCACGTGGGCTCAAGCTTGTGAACTGGAGATGTCAAGCATGCATTTTTTTTTCCTACTTAGACATTGGTATTCTGAACGTAAGAATATCCTTCTTAAGCGTTAATGTAAATAAAAAAATTAGAATCAGTACATAATCACTCTGAGATTCATTAATCTGACGGTTACGGTTTGCTTTGCTTCTGTTCGTGTAGACATCAACGAGTGCAGTGGTAGTCTCATCTGTGACGTCAATGCCAACTGCCAGAATACCCCAGGGTCTCACAGTTGCTCCTGTAAACAGGGATTTAATGGAGACGGTCAAAATTGTGCACGCAACAAAGGCATGTACAGCTGTTAAGAAATAACACGCAAACTGCGGTGATAAACATGGCAATAACACGCATGTTAAAAAACAACGTTAATTACTTGACGTTTCGTATGTTTCAACATACATCTTCAGAAGTGACCGTTAGGAATAGAAGTAACTAAATTTCAATTTAAAACAAGTAACTAATTAACAATTACAATGGCAGAAGCTGAGAAAAATTTGTATATAAACAATGCAAACTAATAAAGATAAAGTTTTTCGCTGTTTACATTATCATTTAGGGTGGGTTTTAATTCCCTTATTAGCAGAATCTCTTTTATCTTGCGATGTGTATCTGTCCGAC